CATGATGGACCCTAATCCTCTAAGGACAGCCTGCACAGGAGAACATCAGTTCACCCATGATGGATCCTAATCCTCTAAGGACAGCCTGCAAAGAAGCCTCTGCACCTCCACCACATCCAAATACGCTAGTGTCCTCTGGTTCCAGGACGGGTGAATGAGCGATCCCAGATACACTCATCTCTGTGCATTACGGCAGTCTTTGCGAGTAAGCTACCAAAGGAGTTACAATGCTTCTCAAAGTTACTGCCATATTTTAAAACAACCCTGCCTATCCCTGGGGTTTTCTGAGGACTCTGATCCAGAGCGCCTCCCTCAGGCAGCTGACATGCAAACAGCTGTGGTCCTCAAGCTCTCAGCACAGGTGCTTTGCCACTGCTTCATCCACGTCACACCCTGATTTGGGAAGAATTCTGAACCGCTGGTACTGTTGTTTTTTAATTTTAAAAAACTATCAGTTTTACTTCATCATTATCAACTGAGTTTGTATGTAAACTAAGACATCTATTTGTTTTGATTCAAATATGAATTATTCCTTTTTCTACAGGCTACTAATGTAGATATACAATTCCCACTCCAATTCTTCCCATATCCCGAGACTCTCATTCCCTCAGCAAATCTGCTCACACATGGAAACTACATTTTTTTTTTTCAGACACAGGCTCAAGCTGTCCCCCACGGTAGAGTGCCGTGGCATCACAGCTCATAGCAACCTCCAACTCCTGGGCTCAAGCAAGTCTCCTGCCTCTGCCTCCCAAGTAGTTGGGACCACAGGCGCCCACCACAACGCCTGGCTATTTTTTGGTTGAAGCCATCATTGTTGTTTGGCGCCCGGGCTGGATTCGAACCCGCCACCTTAGGTGTATGTGGCTGGCGCCTTAGCCACTTGAGCCATAGGTGCCGAGCTGGAAACTACATTTTTATTGCTGGATTTTTTTGCCCTGGAAAGAAGCATCTACTCTGCTAGGTCAGTGACAGGGTCTTCACCTTACACCCAAGTTAACTGCTGTCACAGCATTTGAAAGCTCTGGAAACTCATGAAAGTATCACAGTCAATGATCCACTAGTGCTAGGGATAAAATGCTCAACAAAACAGGCAATCCCACCCTTCACCAAGCTCACTCCTAATGGAGCACACTAATAAATCAAATCAAAAATGATGATACGAATTAATAAAACATTGTGACAAGGAGAGAGGAAATACACTCTCAGTAGAGAGTAAATGACACAAAACTGTTTTTTAAAAAAGGCAACAAAAAGCAAAGCATTACAATACACTTCCAACAAAGTCACTTTACCTCCTCTAGATATAGAACCTTTAAACTGGAAAAAAAAAAAAAAAGATGAAAAACCTTTTAGAACTGACTCGGGACCTAGGTGCCAACAATACTGTGTATACGTGCAGGGCCTCTGTGTCACACAACACAGCGGGCCACCACAATGGCTCATGCCTGGAATCCCAGCACTCTGGGAGGCCGAGGTGGGCAGACTGAGTTCAGGAGTTCAAGACCAGCCTGAGCAAGAACCAGACTCCATCTCTACTAAAAACAGAAAAACAAGCTGGGCAGTATAGCAGCCACCTATAGTTCCAGCCACTTGGGAAGCTGAGGAGGAGGCTCACTTGAGCCCCAGAGTTTGAGGTTGCTGTGAACTACGATGTCAGAGTACTCTACACAGGGTAACACAGTGAGATCATCTCAGAATGAATGAATAAATTAATTTTAAAAACCCACCAGGCTAGGCCATTTTGTAAGGGTCTTTTTTTTTTTTTTTTG